GTGAAATTCCACCCCCACCCCCAAAGTGCCAAGCTAGATTTTTTTTGCCAGTAGAGGTTTTATTCACATATTATTTTGTGTTTGTATAATGTTATCTGACTCATATTTCAGATTGAGGCATATGAAATTGTAACTGTTCTGTCTTCAACTTACTAAAAAGGACACATTCATATCGTTCTATTTAAAAACAAAGAGTAAATGTATAAATTTTGGTTTATTAATCTAAGCATGAAAGCCAGATCTTTTTAAAAGATCTTTGAAAGTGTCAAATCACTTTCGTAATTTTACAATCTTAACCTTTATACAACCCCAAACAAAGTAGTCACTAATTACTTATTAAAATATGGTTCAAAATAGAGAAAAAGCATCGGAGGGAAATAAACAGCTTTTTGTGCTTCCCTGAGATCTCAAAATGGTAATGGGAACACCTGAGGGGTTTCTGTGGACACAAATTTCTTTCCCGGCATCAGCAAATGTTTTTGAAAGGATTAGGGGGAAAAGTCCACTCGGTCAACTCAAGAAAACTCACTGCCATGAATCCGTGCTGATTCAGAGCGACCCTAGAAGACCACGTAGCCCCTGTGGGTTTCACGGGGCTGTGGGTCTTCGTGGGAGCAGGAAGTTCCACCTTTCTCCCCGAGACTGGCTGCTGGCCTTGCAGTTAGCAGCCCGACAACTTGCAGCCCACTGAACGTGGCCAACAAACGACGGAGCGTATGGATCAGGTAGGTCTGCCAATAATATAAACCCCCAAACCAAATCATGTCCCATGTGGTGACCCCAAGGGTGCCAGAGTAGAAATGTGTCGTGAGAAGGTTCTTTACCCTGGTGGCATAGGGGGGTTCTATGTTAGGCAGCTAACCACACGGTCAGCAGTTTGAAACCACCAGTCACTCAGAATAAAGATGGGGCTTTCTACTCCCATAATGAATGACGCTCTGGGAAACCTCTGGGGGCAGTTCTACCCTTTCCTACAGAGTCGCTCTGAGTCCAAATCAACTTGTTGGCAGTAAATTTGGGGGTTTGGTAGCTGGAAGTAGATCACCAGACCTTTTTACCTAAGTGCTTCTGGGAAGACTCAAACCTCCAACTTTTGGGGGTTAGTAGGAAGCCCATTAATCATTTGCACAACTCAGGGAAACACGTGCTAAAGCCTCCGAGGGAGGCTGAGTGCAACTTACAGATGGAGGCTTGGGGGCTCCCGGCGGCGGCGGTCTCCATTCGCTGCTGCGTGCCACGTCCTTCCTTTTTATTGGCACGGACGGCCTTGGTCTTGGTGGGCCCTTACCCCGGACTCGCTCTTTCTTCACTTTAGAAGCTTATTTAGCCAGAAGAAAACGATTTCAATTTATTTTTTATAAACCTCCACACGTTTAATTTTGATGCTGATACGCATATGAGCATCTGTGACCTGTCACGTTAAGCTCCCTCTAGCCAGAGGCAACTGGATTCAGTGACAGAAAGGGGAGTGGGAAGTTAGCAGCACTTTCTCGATTAGAAAAAAACATTTTCCCCAAGGTTCCTTTGTGTGTTTCTGGTAATACACAATACTCCTGTTTTTCCAAAAGAAATTAGGACCGAATCTTAACATGTACAGAGAAGACGTGTAGAATCCTGGCCCGGGCAATTAAGTGGGGTCATCAGGCCTGACCCTCCATGTCACATTGTTGTTGTTATGAGCAGGCCTTCTCTTGGGTTTGTTTTTGTCTCTGTCAAAATGTTTTCTTGTTCCCTCATCTTTCCTGTAGGGAATGATGCAACCCAGGCCTTTTCTCTCATCCTCTCCTTGCGTACTTGCTAAACATTCCCCAGCTACACTGACAGGTAGCAACGCCAAATCCCATCAACCCTGACAAAGAAGCGCCTCCTCCAGAGCTTACAACCCTTACAAAGAAGCCCCCTTTCAGTTCTTCTATCACTGTGAAGATTGTTTCCATGGCAGCACAGCCGAGGGACCAGGTGGCTGAGAGACAGCCGCCTGAGAGAGAGTTGGCTAACACATGGCTGAGAGGCCGCCAACCAGAGAGACTCGGCTTCTGTCCGAGGGGACCAAGAATTGTATCCTTACCGTTTGCTGATCCTCACTTGTAGCAACCTATTAATTTCCCTACTAAGTCCCCTTCATTGTAAGTGTTGTCTGTGAGTTCCCTGTGGCCACTTATAAGGTGACCAGACATCCCGCTTTTGGCGGGACCATCCCAATTTTTGACGTTTCAAAAAAGTCCCGATGTTTGGAAAGAATGCACGACAAGCTAGGGAACAGTCTAGTTGGTCCATATAGACCAAAGTTTTAATCAAGAACCCCACCCCCACTTTAAATCTGGTCACCTGACACTAAAACGGATTCTCGAACTCAGTGTCCATGCAGAGTGGCGTGGGAGAAGCAGGCTGTTGTCAGAATAGGTGAGGAGGGATGGAGGGTGAAGACGTGTCTGGCTGATCTCATGACAATACAAGAGGGCAGAAGGGGTCGAAAATGGCCCTCTGTCGCTGTTCACAGCACGAGCTTTACAGCATCTTAACTGAACTCGCGAGTCTTCTCTTTCCTCCAGCCGCTATCACCTGGCCTACAAAACATTTTTTTCCTTGATATCTTTTTTCTCTCTCCCTTTCCATCTCTCCCTCTCTCACACACACTTCTAGCACTTTCTCAGCAGCTTCCTGACGCTGATGTTGAAACTGTTTCCCCTGCTGGTCCTTTCTAGAAAGCACTTATTACCTGCTATGTGAGGGTCCTGTGGCAATGGTGCTTGCGCTGCTGTAGATTAGATCCAAGACCCTGCCCTCGGCTCCCCTGGGTGACCCCGTAATTGTCAGTCATCCTCTCGCTGTCACAGGAATATGATTCTTCTCTAATCCCGAGTCTGTGACCCTTCTCCCGCTCTCGCTCTCTTCCCAACACAAAACCAGGGGTGGGGTTCGACCTCATCTCTTTCCACAAGCAAGTGCACAGCTTTGTGAAGGTTTCCTGACTGATGACTAGTCTAGGACAGGCAGGAGCGAGGCACACAACTTCTCAAATCCGTCCTTGGTTACCATTGGGCAAGATGGTCTTCCTCCTGCGTACACTGCTCAGGTTTTGAAAATGCTCAGGTTCGGTATATTGGGTGAAATTTCCCCACTGATGTCATCAGTCATAAATCATTGTGTGAGACAAACGTTGTGGCAGTTGCATAATCTTTTGTCAACTTGCGAAGGGGTGGAGTTTAGCCTGTCAATCAGGTCACAGCTTGATAGCCTCGTTTGGAGTCCCGGTGGAGATAAATAGCTCACTGGAGGCCAGACACACTCTCTCTGTGTGCCTGTTGACAAGGCACATGGAGCTACGCTGATGGAACCAGAGCTCAGGAGCTGGAGGAGGCACGTGGAGACCCACACCAGCACTGAGAGGCCTCTACCACCACTGGATCCATAAGAATTTGCACCCCCTGACCTGTGATCTGCCTGCATTCAGTATCATTGCATGTGCTGTGTGAGCCTGAAGAGGAATTTATAGACTGGTATCGGACATATGGGCTAATATTGGACTTATGGACTTGATCTGGACTGGGTTAGGATGTTTGCTTAAGGTACAATTACTCTTTATATAAAGCTCTTTATTATACACATATGTGCATCTCTGGATTTGTTTCTCTAGTCTACCCAGGCTCACACGAATGTCAGGCAAGAGAAACCGTTCTTACCCTGGACTGCCTTCCCGGGAGGTCGTGGTGCTGGAGGTCTTGCTATGTGCATGGGACTGGCTTCTTTTCGTATGACCTAAAATCGAAGTGAGGGGTCACTATCGAGGACCTGATGAGCCCGATCTCTGTCAAAATTATAAGCAGAGTCACCACAAAACTCACCTCAGAAGCCCAATAGTGGATGGCAAGCTTCTCCAAAAAGGGCTTTTTCAAGATTGAATTAATAGATGGTCGATCTCGAGGGGACACTTTGAAGAGCTGATCTATCAGGGACCGTAGGTCATAAGAAAATCGTGGCGAGATTGGGGCAAAGCGTGCTTGACAAATCTTCAGAACCAGCTGGTGTAAGTTGCTACCCTCAAACTGAAAGGTCAAGAAATAATGACCCTAAATCAAAGAACTGTTATAATAATAGGGATATCAAGTCGCATGGCAATGTTTTCAAAAGCACCTGTAGTCCACCTCCAGTTGTTTTTCAAATTATTTTTTAACATTTTTATTGGCTTATAATTCACAAATCATACAATTCAATTGCTCAATCATATTAAGAAATGGTGGAACTTAAATTTGAACCAAACATATTCCAGGTTCTTGACATTGTGCTCTACCATAAAGGCTATATCAAAACTATTTCACAGCTGGGGGAGCATGGTTTCTGACCAGAGTGGATACCTCTATGCACCAGCTAATTGCAAGCTCTGCTTATAGAGCTCTGTTTGTTTTTCAAAAGGAAGACAGTCACATGTTATCATTGAATGCAGTATCTTCAGAGGTTATTTTTTAATAGCTTTTATCAGCATATCATTCACACAGTGTACAATTCAATCATTCAGACATATTAAGTAGCTATGCAATCATCGCCACAATCAAGTGTAGTCATTGTTGTGAGCTCCCAACTTCCCCTGCCACGCCTCTGGGAAACTATTAATCCAGTTACTCTCCATAGAGATTCACCTCTCCTGGATATCATATATATATAAAAATATACAAAACAAGAAACAAACAAACCAAAAGAGAAGAAAAGAAAAACCTCAATAGAAAAGAAAGCATAAAATATTACAAACTGGAACTTTGAAATAGGTCAAACCAAACCCCAGCTGAACTCATAGCCATCGAGTCAATGCTGACTCACAGAGACCCCACTGTGGGATTCTGAGACTACGACTGTTGAAGGGTTCAAAGCCCGACCTGTCTTCTGTGGAGCTGCTGGTGGTTTCGAACTGCCAACTACACAGATCACAGCCCAATGTGTAACCATACCACGACCAGGGCTCCAAAATAGACAAAAGGGCGATCAAATGATAAGGTGTTACATTTGACTTACTACGTCTGCCATCAGCAACTTCACAATGCTCTCTGTCTGATAGCAAGGCTACTAACTCCACTATGATCAGAGGGAAATCACTGGAGGGTTAATCCAAATGGGGACCCTGCAAATGGATTTTGGGGCTCCATTCTCATCCATAGCCTTTTGCAAGCCAGGTGTTCAGCTTTAAGCTCTGATACTGTTTCCCTCCTCTGGATTTGAGTCAATAATTCTTATAATCCTTGGATCACACAGCATGCTGTGCTTTTTCCATACGAACTTAACTTGACGTCTCACTTAGATGGTTGCTTGTTTGAAGACAAGCCTTTAAAAACCCAGACACTATTCTTTCTGATAGCCAGGAACCATCTGATTTCTTCACCACATTTCGCTATAGCACCCATATCTTCAGTGATCTCTTCATAAAGGCAAGTATCAAGAAGGGCCATGTCATAGAACTGATTGTTCTTAGATTAGGGCTATGGTTCAGGTTAAGCCCCCAAGTCATTCATATATCCATGGTGTCTCTATGTCCCTGATTCACTTTAGAGACATCATTGTCATTTTATTGGAGAACATTACAAATGGAAGAAGCACACCGATATCAGTCACTGAAGGATTGTAAATCATATAATCTGAAGTAGAAAGAGGGAATAGTGACTTAAATTGTGAGCTTAAATTGTGACTAGCCGGGTTGCAGACAGGTGAATCAGGATTATGTAGCCTGTGTAACAGAAAGAGGAAAGAATGAAGCAAGATGAACAGTATTTCAAAGACCTATGGGATGCCACTAGGCATTCCAACATTCACATAGCAGGCATTTCGGAGGGAAACGTGAGAGAGAAAGGGGCAGAAGCAATATTTTAAAACCTAATGGCCTCACACCGCATATAAAACAAACTAGACTGAACAGACGTTTATGCAGCACTCCACCCAACGGCAATAAAATACATCGTTCTTCGGGGCCCATGACTTAGCTCTGCAAGCCAGTACATTCAAAGGGATTAAAATCATACAAAACACGTTTCTGACCATAGTGTGACGAAATTAGAAATCCATGACAAAAGGGAACTGAACAATTCTACATATCTGAACATGTCAAGCACGCACTGCTACCCAACTAACAGGTCAGCGACGGACTTAGAAAGGACGTGGAGATGAATAAGGACGAAACTACCCCAGCCACGAGTTATGGGATGTCGCTAACGCAGAATGGGAAGGAATTTATGGCTGAAATGTTCAAGCAGGAAAGGCAAAAAACTCTCTTAGGTGGTCACTAGAAAGCTTTTAAGACCCCAAAGTGGGATGTAGAGAAATGTTCTTATATTTTGTCAGTTGCACAATTCATTTTTCGATTTTAACCCCTCGGTCTATTAAAGCAGATAGCAGAACTACCAGAAAGATAAAAAATAGTTTCTGAATGTGGAGAAAGTTGCGAGCTTACTGTTTGCAATGTACTTCACGCTTCAAATAAAGAAAATATTTGATGTTATTTTGGTATTTTCTTAGGCAGCACATTGGGTTTGACCTTGGGCTACTAACTGCCTTGGTGGGGGTGGGAGCTACTTGTTGGGCTGCTAACCACAAGGTCTGCAATTCAAAACCACCAGGAAGAAGATGAGGCTTTCTACTCCCTTGAAAAGTTGCACTCTCAGAACCTCACAGGGGCCGTTCTGCCCTGACATGGAGGGTCACTGTCAGTGGGAATGGATGCAATGGCAATGGGCTTGGGGGTTGTTTGTTTGTTTGTTTGTTTTAGGACTAACTGAATAGTCAGGGAGTCGTTGCACCCACCGCCAGCTTCTCTGGGGGAGAAAAAGATGAGATAAAGATTGACAGCCCTGAAACCCTAGGGAGTAATTCCACTCTAACCAATAAGGCGGCTATGGGAATTAACTCGATGGCATTGGCCATGGCTTGGTCTTTTTTGGCTTTGGAATTCTATTATGGATGAACGTGAAGTTTTCAATCATCATTTTCTCAGAGACCCTCTCATTATAGCAGATGGTTCTTACACCACTTGGTTAATGGATCCCATGGAAATCTAAGCCTTCCTTGTTTTAGATTTGTTGTTCACACAATTTATTTTTGTGGAAATATGCTACCCATCCTATTCATCCACTTTGATTTTTGTTTATTTTGTAAAATCATTCAGCCATCTTCCCATGTAAATATAGCTCTACAATTCCTTTTTATTAGCTTGTCCAAATGATTGTTAACCATCTATTAAAGCCAAACCTTAACTTTTTTCTTTTTCTCCCAGAAAGTAATTGCATGTATACGACCTGAGTGATTCAGGAGTCATCGAATGTTTAGCATACTTACAGGATGCTTCAGTGTGCAGAGCTCATATAAGACACAGCCAAGAGACCAAATATCCCTGGGGAAGACAAGAGATCAAACGCCAAGAAGATCCACACACCCGGATCAAAGCTTTCGTTCCCACAGTGCTTCCCTGTCATGTCACTTTACAGCGTTGCGTAGGCTGACCAGTTCTTTGCAAATGCTGTCAGATACAAGTACATTGTCGATTCTTGCAACTAGTCAGAGAAGAGGTGAGCTAGAAGTCACTTGTACTTTGTCAGCATCCTAGCAGGGGAAATGTACACACACTGGTCAACACTTCGATGACTCTGGATTTACCTCCACTTAATGCGTGCCAAGAAAAGGTGTGCGGGTACAGACTTCTGAAGTATTTGTGGGGAGGGAGACAGAACTCAAACATTTATTCATTTTAATTTAACACGCAAACTGTGGTGGGTTCAAAATGGCATATGCCACTCAGATAACATTAAGGAATGGATATATGTTCGATAAATGTTTGAATATGGGATGTAGGTCCCATAAACGTTTGAAACATATACTTACATGACTCAACCCTGGCTCTTCACGGGCATAGCATTTAGCAATATTTACACGCAATTAGTTTTATTTTTTTTAATCATCTTATTAGAGGCTCATACAACTCTTTTCACAACCCATACATACATCAATTGTGTAAAGCACATTTGTACATTCATTGCCCTCATCATTCTCAAAACATTTGCTCTCCACGTAAGCCCCTGACATCAGCTCCTCATTTTTCCCCTCCCTCCCCGCTCCCCGCTCCCTCATGAACCCTTGATAATTTATAAATTATTATTTTGTCATATCTTGCACTGTCTGATGTCTCCCTTCACCCATTTTTCTATTATCTTCCCAGAGAGGAGGTTATATGTAGTTCCCTGTAACCGTTTCCCCTTTCCACCCCACCCTCCTTCTACCCTCCCGGTATCGCCACTCTCACCACTGGTCCTGAAGGGATCATCCGCCCTGGATTCCCTGTGTTTCCAGTTCCTATCTGTACCAGTGTACATCCTCTGGTCTAGCCATATTTGTAAGGTAGAATTGGGATCACGATAGCGGGTGGGGAGGAAGCATTTAGGAACTAGAGGAAAGTTGTATGTTTCATCGTTGCTACATGCAATTCGTTTTAAAAGGAGTTCTTTTAGAGAATGAAAAGTACAATTCAATCCAAAAGATCAAAGGAAATACAATAAAAAGCCAAAGAATTAGTCAAAGGGCCCAAACAAGACCAAGTCTAATGTGAGATTACGGCTCCACTAGCTATGAACTCAAACGTGAGATTGAGAGAGAGAGAGAGAGGAGAGAGAGACATGAAACGGTCCGTTCTGACCATTGAGAGGCAATGGTAGGTGGTGACAGAACAGGTAGAGAGCAACTTCCAACTGAGTGTAGAAGTCCCCTGACCACCTCCTACCACGAAGAATGCCTTCTCTGCTCCGTCTCCCCTAGGCCCCACATTTCTTCTGCATTCTCAGTCTCCTCTAGGCAGGGTGGTGAATTTATGGACCTACAGGGGTAAGGCTAGTCACTCTGGCTGCATCCAAACATTCATCCACCTCATGCCAGCCTGTGGCATCATTGGGTGGTGCAGATGGTTAACCGAAAGGTGGGTGGTCCAAGTCCACATGAGGCGCCTTAGAAGAAAGGTCTGGTGATCTATTTCTGAACAATCAGCCATTACAGACTCTGGGGAGCACAGTGCTACACCGACACACAGGAGATCACGGTGAATCCGAGTGACCCGTGAGCAGCCAGCCTCTATCACCCCGTGAGTGGCGGTGGGGATCACAAGACGGGTCCCTGTGTAAAGAGCCCGCTCAGGGTTGCCTGGATCAACCTGTTCTCAGAAGCACCACACCTGGGTGCTTTTTAAACCTTTTAATATTTAAATGTTAGTTTACTTTTTTTAAAAGCTGTACTGGTAAACAAATCCAAGCTGTTACAATGAAGAGAAATGGGATTTTTCTCAACAATAGCTTCCAGGCACACTGACATGGTCGAGACCAAAGCTTTTCCCATCTCATATGAGAAGAAATGGAATCACGAAGTACCAGGAGGAAGAAGGGAGGGACTGAACGTGTATTTCTAGAACTTAATTAAATACTGCCCATCCGCGTTTCCTGGCACTCTCAAAGCAGCAGTCGGCAACTCACGTTTTATTGTTGTACGGTTGTTTCTGACAGATCTCCGGGGACAGGTAGTACGGCGTTCCAACCCAAGTCCGAGCGAGTTCCGTGGAACTGGTAGAACATATGGAGCAATAAAATAGCATGGCTCATGATTGAATCAGTAAGCATATGTAAAACATATGAGTACACAAATGTGATGCCCGTACAGATGAAAATAAAACATATTGTACATTGATAACAGGGGAATATATCCACTCAAAGCCATTGTGTGAATTCAGAGCAATACATTCGTTGAGTTTTTAGCTTATAATTCATTCCCCAAAGGTACACACATTAAATATATATATATGTATATATATTATTGGCCATCTAGCTGAAAAGCAACGAAGTCCACATGGAAGCAACAGACTAGCCTGTGTGCTCATGAGGTTTTGATAGGATCAGGTATCAGGCATCAAAGACCCAGAACAAAAAATTATATCATTGTGAAGGGTGGGGAGTGCAGAGTGGAGACCCAAAGTCCATCTGTAGGCAACTGGGCCCAAAGTCCATCTGTAGGCATCCTCTTACAGAAGGGTCGCAAGGAGGAGATGAGCCAGTCAGGGTGCAGGAGAGCACCAATGAAACATACAACTTTCCTCTAGTTCTTTAATGCTTCCTTCCCCCACTATCATGACCCCAATTCTATATTACAAATCTGGCTAGACCAGAGCTTGTCCACAGATACAGATAAGAGCTGGAAACACAGGAAATCCATACCAGATAAACCACTCAGGACCAATAATGAGAGTAGTCATATCAGGAGGGTGAGGAGAAGGTGGGTGGAGAAAAGGGGAACCAATCACAATGATCTATCTATAATCCCCTCCCAGGGGGATGGACAACAGAAAAGTGGGTGGAGGGAGACATCGGTCAGTGTAAGACATGAAAAAATAATAATAACATAAATTATCAAGGGTTCATGAGGGAGGGACGGAGGGAGGGGAAAATGAGAAGCTGATACCAAGGGCTCATGTAGATAGAAAATGTTTGGACAATGTTGATGACAATAAATGTACACATGTGCTTGACACAATGGATATACATGTATATATGTATGGATTGTGATAAAAGTTGTTTGAGCTGCAATAAAATTATATATATATATTATTTGATGGCTTAAAGACTCCACACAAAGAGGCACAATTGTCATTTTAACACACAATGAAACCCTCAGAGGTAGGAAGATTTCCCTATTTCAAGTTGTCAAAGGAATGCAACCTCACTATTTAAAATTTGGGAAAGACCAAAGTTATTAACATGAGAGAGAAACAAAACAAAACATCACCTACACTCATCACCCCAAAATAACTTTTGTGAAAATTCTGAAAAAAAAAATCTGATTTATGTCCCTCCTGTGGTTTTCCGTAATGTTTTCACACAGCTGTGGTCATACCGCATCAAAACTTCAGAGTTTCGAATATTTTTTTCAGAGTTCCAAATTTTTTAATTGGGCAGGTCATGCAGCATTTTCTCACCTTGTTCAAAAGTCTTCAAAATCACAAACGTCTGTATAATACTCACGTTGTATCATACTCAGGTTCGTGGTTATGCTGAGATTGGTTTTTAAGCATGGCCCCCTTATTAGATATTCATATGGTTCCACATTTCAAATTATTGCCTTAAAATAAATTCCTGGAAGTAGAGCACTTAATAATCTCCCATCAAACCATCTTCCAAAACAGTTACAACAGTTCATTCCCACCCGAATGTCTGATCTTGCCTGTTTCACAGAATTCCCACCAGTTTTCCACCTATTAGTCACATGACATCATTGAGAAACTTCTATTACACACTACGTGACATTGCCACCATCATCCTATTGCATGGGGAGTTTAATCTCAAAGCGTCATCGGAATGATGTAATGCATTTAGAGTTGGAGTCTCTGGGGATGTCAACAGTTCATGCACCTGCCTGCTGACTGAAGGGCCGTGAGCTCAAGCACCTCCAAAGAAAGGCCTGGTGATCTGCTTCTGAAAACCCAGCCACTGAAAGTCCTATAGCCGTGGTTCTGCTCTGACTCACACACACGGTCACCAGGATTCAGAACTACTCAACAGCTACTCAAACCTAAATAAAAACTCAACAAACTCACTCCCATTGAGTCGCTTCAGACTCATAGCGACCCTCTAAGGACAGGGTAGAACTGCCCATGTGGGTTTTCAAGCTTGTAAATCTTCTCGGATGTAGAAAGCCTCATCTTTGTCTCGTGGAGCAGCTGGTGGTTTCGAACTGATGACTTTGTAGGCCAACACAAGTCACTATGGAACCACTATGTTACCAGGGATCCCCTTTGAGAGTAGAGAGCCTCATATTCCTCCTGAGGAGCAGCTGGTGGTTTCCAACTGCTGACCTTGCTACTCCTGGGAATATAAATGGTCACCAACAATTATGTGGTCACCGGGTTTTTATTATCATTTTCATTCATGGCCCCAGAAAATGCATTTGTCGACCAAGAGCAGGAAGTAAAGCGGCTTTTCCCAAGTACTCACGTGTTCAGGACCCGTGCTATGCCAAAGTCTCCGAGCTTTGCCACCGTCCCATTCTTGCTGAGAAAGATGTTCTATAAACGGGAACGACACGCTTCTGTTTGAGATCATTCAAGAAAACCATAGACGGGTCCCCCACCCACCCCGCTGGGTCTCTGGTCCGACCTGTTACCTGTGCTTTGACATCCCTGTGTAAGATCTTCCTGTCATGAATGTGTTTGAGGCCCAGAGAAATCTGCACAAACCAGCCCAGGATCTGCAGGAGGAAAGCAAAACCGCTCCGTCGGACTGGGCCTCAAACTGGCAGCGAGGGCTCCCCCATGAACCCATGCCAAAGGACAGACCACACCCCTGTGGGTAGGTTCGTGCCAGCGGAGTTTCTGAGTGACCGTCTTACCATCTGTGTTCATCTCACGGCTAGAAAAACTGGGGTGCAGGAAGGCAAGCCTTGGCATCGAAGTGGGCTAGCGCCACACAGAGAAAAG